AATGTATGTTTAGATAAGCTTTTGTTGCTAATTCTATTTATGAGGGGGCATGATGAAAAGTCATTGGCCCAAGAAACTCTGGAGGGAGAGAGAGATGCTTGGTCATGTTGAGGAGTGGGTCAAGACAAGAACTTAACAGCACCACCTCATTTACTAGATTTGTCACAAGGAATATTTACTGAAGCCATTAACTTGGGTACCTCCACGAGATCGTTAAAAAAAGAGTGTAGCATGATGAAAAAGATGCCAAACTTGACGAAAACAAAATTTTATCGTCTAAATGTTTGTTATTATTAAGAGGAAAGATCAAAGTATTTTGGGGGTAATTTTTTACATTTTTTAATCATTCCTAGCACGTCCGAAATTTTCGTTAAAAATCTAGTTTTTTTTTTTTTTTCAGCAAAATTGACCATTTTTTTCCATTTTAAAAAAAAAAAAAAAATCTCACTTTGAAATTTTTTAAATATCAATTATCATTTTTTCAAAACTTATTTTAAGAAAATCAGAAATTATAATGTTTATTTAAAATATTTTGAACCAAACTTAGCTTAGCTTTTGTGCCAAAAAGATGTAATTTGAAAATAAAACAAAGCAAGTCATAAACTTTCGCGTCTCTTGACAGGTGATGAATGACATATTTATGAATTCCATGAGGCTAATTTGTTCTACAGAAGGAGAAAAGTGAAATAATTTACATTTACGTGAACAAATTATTTACCCCGTTATTTTTAACAAAAACATTTTAGCGGTGTAATTTTTTTTTTTTTTTTGTACTTAGCTCTCACCTTTACGTTTATGATGCTTTATGGAAAATATATTGTAAAGAAATTAAAATAAGACTTAAGAGTGACATTAAATTTCATAAGAAAGGTATCTAATTAATTTATAGGTACCTTTCTTATGAAATTTTATCAGAATTGTACATAAAATACTATAATTTTATGTACATTTATTACATTTTACTGTGTTATTTGTATTTGCATTCATTTTATTATTAATTTTGATATTTCATTTATGGAAAAATGTCATAACTGAGATTAATATAAAAATAAGATCATATAAATTTCATAAGATGATACTGATACTTGTAGGTACCCTTCTCATTTGAAATTGAAAAATCAAATTAACTTCTCCACACATGTTTCGCAAAAGTAAAGGCCTTAACAGCGGAGAACAATGCTTAACTCAAATAACGCAACTTAATTATATTCTGGTTGGTCTTCCGTACTTTATAATTACAGCTCGATTATAAGCACAAAATTACATTTCTTAATTACTGCAGATCTTCTGATTAGTCAAAATGATACAATTTACAATGCGCTAAAAAAGATCTATCTCATAAGGACACTTAGGAAAGCCAATGCGGCTTTTAACTAATTTTATAATATTTTAACAACTTAAATGTAAAATCTATTATTATTAAAGAATTAAGAAATAATTGTATTAAAAATTCATTTTTCATCGGAAAAAATTTTTTACTTTCAGAAAATATTGTCTATATTCATAAAAACAACTAAAACCAAATAAAAGCATTTGAAATTAAATAATATCTTTGTTTTATTGAGTTTTGTATGTTACAATTCAGAGCTGATTTTCAGGTATTGTGGATCCAATTAAAAACATGATTTGCATTCCTCAAAGCCCTGTGCTTTTAATTATTGTAATCACTAAACCCAATGCGATCAAATTTCTAGGGTTTTCATAAAATTAGTTGGAGCGGGGGGTAATAAATATTTTTTTAAAATATTTCTACCATGACTTTAACATATTTATAATAATTTTGATCATCTGTGAATAGTTCCTGAAAGTTTCATTAACATCCGACAATTATTTCTATTTTTGCACGATTTTTCAAATTAATGTGTGTCACACCAAAAAAACGTGCTAAAAATTGTCTATGTTATTTACTAGTTCCTCTGATACAAATAGAAACAAGATTTTTTTAATCAAAATTTAGAATGTTCTAAAAAGAAGGAAAAATTTTTTAAAAATAATTAAAAAAAACTTTGGTCTTTCCTCTTAATAATAACATAAGCATTTAGACAATAAAATTTTGTTTTCGGCAAGGTTGGCATCTTTTTCATCAAGCTATGCTCTTTTTTTAGCGATTTCGTGGAGGTACCTACATTAACTTCAAGTGAATACATATTGTACCAAACATTAATACTTCCAACTCCACAGCACTTTTTTTTTTCCATTAACAGTTAGTACATCCATATCTCTCCTCCAAAGCTGATAAATTGACTGACTTGAAATTGACCAGGAATATCTAGAATCCACCAAAACCATGCATACTGGCTTATCAATCTGAACCTGTACAAAATCAAGTGCTACTTTCTACACCTTATTAACTTTCCATCAGAATTTAATGTTTTAATTGCATTCCAAAGGTTTACCTGTTTTCCTTCCACATGTGCTGTCATGTCTTATTTAGTTATCTCACCTTGGAAAATAGCTTTCTGACATTTCAAGTTTAATTATTTGAGAACTGTTGGTATTCCTTTTATATTTTCTAGCATATAGCCTTAGTTACAGTTTTCTCTATAGAAGTAATCCTTGTGATAGCTTTTTTTTATCACATGAGGATATACTGTTAATAGATCCTTTGGATATTTCCAGCAACTTTTTATATCTAGTTTAAGGTGAGTCAAGCAACAAATATGAAAATATACAATGCAAATTACAATTGAAAATGACTTAAAAATTATAATTTTAATCAATTTTTCTTCTTATTTTGTTAAGTAAAACTTTGACCTCTGCATCATTGTACATTAAACATAAATTGAAAATGATCCTCGAGCATTATAATTGTTCAAATCAAAATATTTCAATAAAAATTGAATTTTAAAGATTGTATTCAGTAAATTAAATAAAACTTTTGCTTTTATAATGTGATAAAATCTTTGTGAAATATAAATATTTTTTAAAATTATATTCTTAATGTTTATGTGTGTATAAATGCACACTTTAGTAAAATTTTACCATCAAATGTTCTAAAAATTATTTTTTAAAAGGTTTATTCTATATGATTCACCTCTTGGATATTACAATGTGCTGCAATAACTTATCTTCGTGGAAGAGTAACAAGTGCATGTTCAAACTTGCAGAATCAATGCCATCATTGAATTTAAAGGGAAGTAATCGCAACTTTTTTCTGTTTACATAGTTCTCGGTGTTGTATGCCAACTGAAGTACATAGACAAGAAACTTTGATTCAGTTTAGTTTAACTGGATCAAAGTTATGGCCTATGTGGAAGCCATATTTGTTTACAGTACACTGTTCTACTACACTAGATGAAAGTTGCTGTATAAATAATAATAAATTGCAAAGCAGACAATTTCTGAAGCACTTGAAAGCCAAATTTAAATAAAAAAAAAGATAAAAATAAAAATTACTTAGGAGGTAGCGAGAAAAACAAAAATCAATATATTTTTTTTATCTGAATGTGTACGTAAGCATGGCAGATATTAGCGAGGCGGATTTAACGATTTTTTGTTGTATTTTTATTAATTTATTTTGCAAAATACAGTTGTTTCAACGGAAATTTCATGCTGCACACATTTTCAAAACATTATTCACTTATGAAAAACTTAAATAATTTTTTTTAAAAACTCCAAAAGGAAATGGAGAGACTAAAAAATAAATTCACTATGTAAAAAATTCTGTAAGCAAAATATTTTTCATAAGTTTGAAACAAAAAAAGAAAAACACCGATCACATATTTTAATAAATGATTTTGATTAACAAAAGTTGAGTCCATATCCAAAAGTCTGACATGTTGCCAAGTACAAAATCTTTTTTTTATCGCATCTACGAGGAAGACGGTGAAAGAAGGTGGAACGATGTTTGTTTACTAAATATTGTTTATATAGAAAAACATTTTCCAATTCAAATTTTATTATTTTTTATTTACAAGAATAAAATAATTTACCTAAAAAAATTGTTAAATATTTTTAGAAACACTGACAAAGTAAAATAACTTTTTTAAAGGAAGGTAACACAGGTTTTACTTTTATGTTTGTAAATTAGCTAATTCTTTTCATTTTTAATTGATTCATATTTTAAAAAACGATACTAAAATCATGAAAATTGAGTTAATCAGAATATGAAAATAATTATTTTTTATCAATTAAATAAAAAAAAATACTTCTCTTCATTAATTTCAGTGAAGTACTTATGAAGACTTTACTTTTTAACTCAAAAAACTAAAAGTAATCACTGAATTGATTGTTTACATTTTACAAGGTTTAAAAATAAAATTATTACTCACAAAAAACTAAATAAAATCCAACAAAACAGAATGAAATCAATAATTTGTTTAAAACAATACTAAAAAAAGTAGATTAAAGCGCGATATACTTCCTCTGGTTGTATTCTCTAGTCTAGAGACTGAAATTGGGTGTGGCGGTAGGGCAGATGTAAAAGAAAAAACTTGAATGATGGCTAAAAAACAAGTTTTTTTTTTTTTTTTTTTGTCAAAAATTAATGGATGAAAAATTAAAAACAAAAAACGACTTGTTTTGCGAATTCAAAACGGACTGTCGGAAAAATATTCAAAACAAAAACATGTGGGCGGTAGAATATTAAACGATGCATGCAGTCCTCCTAAACACAGCAAATTGAAGGATTGCCCTCAGTAGCAAAGTAAAAATAGTGACACACACACATGGACACTGCTACAACATCGTGTTTAAAGATCAGCTAGTAATTATATCGGTTTATATTTTGTTGCTATGTTAACTAAGTAAGTAACAAGATTTAAAACTTAGTAACCTTTGACTCTTGTGACAATAAATATATAAATTCAAAAAAATTTTAGTTTTTGTTTGTTCAATAATTTATTGAACACATCAAGTGCGTCTAAGGTGGGGCTAGCAAAATTAAATCTATTCCTTTTATTCCAAGTTCATTTAATTTACTTTAATAAAACAGATTTATAACAAATTTAAAATACAAAATAAATGAGAAAATAATGATGATCTAACAAACATTTACTTACTGTGACACAAGCTCTGTTTAAACTGACAGCACCCCTACATCCATAAGCAGTTTCGGTGACGGATTTAAAATAACTGAATGTACCATCCTTTAATACGATATATCTATCCTGCCATCCATGGAGGTAGTTTGTCCATTTGCTCAAAGTACCATGTTTCTCAAGCAAGTGGCCTTCTTCTTCAAATTCATCGTTTTCTTCATCGTCAGTAAAACTAAGTACATCTCTCTCTTCCGACATCTTGCTGCATGGATCTCAACGTAGCACGTATTCTAAATATTAGACGTATATTATTGTAGACCTATTCACACCTTCATGCAACAAGTGATTGATAATTTAGAATTCGACACCTCTGAATTCACAAAAAGCGAAGGAATACAAATACTTTTCTAAAGCAAACAAACATCGGAAAAGCGATTGCCAGCTTCGAAGACAGCCAGCACCATATTGAGTGAACACATGACGTCAAAGTATGCACGCCAAACTTAACATTGAAGAACTACACAAACATAAGGGAGGTAATGTGTTAAACATTTCTGAAAAAAAATACTTTTATCAAAACTACAAACTTAAAGAGTGGGAAAAAATTTAATCCATATTTTTAATATTTTTATGCATTGTATAAATTGTAAGGATATTGTAATTGAATCACACTTTTCCTCTTGGAATTTTTATTCATTAGAGTATTATATATTTTATAATATATATGATAAATAAAGATTTTGTGAAATCCTTATTTATCAGACAGTTAATATACAGAGAACGAAAATAACTCTGAAAAACAATAATTATCATTATTATAAGCTTATCTTGGTTGTTTCAATCAAAACATTTTGCCTATTGCATCCTTCTAACCTTTTTCCAGCTTTCTTCGAACCTGGTAACATTCTTGGAATTTTGAAATGAACCCTTTTGGGGGCAGATTGTTCTTGTTCTGCATCTGCTTAGGAGATATTTTATATCAACTAATACCTACCAGTCCTGTTCTTTTAAGTTAGGCCAAGAAACCAGATATATTTTAACCAACACTTTAATCCTTGTGTCTCTTGTACAATCTAATATTGAAATTATAAACTTAGTATCTGCTGTGGGGTTGTTCTGATGATGCATTGGCCTTGTCTGAATGTACTTCATTTTTTTGTATATATATATTTAATTTTGTTTGGGGTTTGAAAAGACATCATCAGCCACACAATAGAAATATATAAATTACAAACAAATCATATACAAGATACAACACAATAAGTGTAAATAAAAATGATAAAAAGCTTTTGTATACATTTCAGAGAAAATTTTATATTTTAAAGAATATATACATGTGGAATTACCCCACTTACTTTCCGAAAAAAAACAAAACATGCTAGGGCTTGCTCCCTAAGCCTAAAAATAGGTAGTAACATTCTCAGTCATGCTCTTTCACCTATTCACCCAGGGGTGGTAAAATGTAGGGCACACAGATAAGAAATTGCCTCAGCTACCATTGAGGTGATTTTACTTCCTTTGATCCTTTGTTGACTTTTGAACTCTCTCACATACATGCATATATACACATATGTCTCACACATGCTTGTTACACTTACTTCTACACAAACACCTTAGTTTAAATGTTTTCTTCATCATGTTCATTGTTCAGTCACATGCAACAATATTCTATTGTCTATGTATACCTTTATTTTGTTAATACATACATTATTGTTTGTTTATATATATAGTTTTGTTGTTACCTTCTTCATTTATTGTTCATTGATTACCTGGACTCACATTCGAGTCTTTCCATTTTTGTTGTGGGATAAATATACCAGAAGAGACACCGTTTTCCAACCTAAACACTTGACCAGTATATGCCTGCAACATACATATACAGAGATAAAAAAAATTTTTGCTTTTCTGGTGGGAGTCACATGGTCTTTCAGAGCATTATTACTGGACATTTGCTTCGTTTGGCCATCAACAATCAAGAGAGAATAAATTTGATTTCTGTCTCAGTTGGTAGCAAAAATGCCTGTTCTAGTGCATGATGGGATTTTTCATATTTATTTAACTATTTATAATCTCATTTTTTCTTTTTTTATTGTTTATCATTCTTGTCTATATTTTAAAGTAATTTTATTACTTAACTTTTAATTTTTCTTTTATTATTAATTATTTTTTATTTTGGTTTCATACTCCTACATAGTCTAGTACTAAGAGTTAGAGGTTATTTAGTGATTTATTTGTCACTATGACTACATATCATTTGTCAGGTAGCAGGACTTGAATGAGTGGCTTGATTCAAATGGTGATATTTTCTTTTGAGTGCCCTTTTTTTCTTAACTAGAGGTTCCCAGATGTTATTCAATTCTATTGTGACACCCACCGGTGGTCGTGGTCACAGCACCAGCACCAATATGGGACGTCCACTGGTCGCGACATCAATATATGACACTGCGCTGTCGGCCTGTGGTCAACTCCCAGTTGCAGCATGAAGCTGTAAGGTTTCTTCCACCAGCGTTTGAAGTTGATTCATTGTCGCCACCACCAGCCTGTGTCCCGGTCGATCTGGTCGTTTCTGGTTCGATACCAGCTTTGTCGTTCTCAGCTCGCCCCCAACGCCTGGTCACCGAAGTAACTGTTTTGATCTCAAGTCTAACCTACCCACGTTCTGACTTTGATCTTAGGTAGACAAAATCAATCAGGTGTCAGGCTGTAGTGCAAGTCGAATCCGGGGTAAAGGTGATAATGCACAAGTGTAAGTAATAGAAAAATAATAAAACAACAATGTTGAGAAATAACAATTAACTTTATCTATCTGTTGAATACAGGAGTGTGTTTCTTTCCCAGCCCGTTTCTATGGATTCGTGACACTCTTCGCGTTTCTTAAACGAGTTATGGTATCTTAAGTCGTTCATCAATAAAAAACTTGCTTTTGGTAGGAAGACTAAGTTGAAAAGGACGTGGAAATCTCGGTCAGCTCCTGCGAGGCGCTATTCTCTGAGCCCAACAGCTCTCTGTCGATCTGTGTCTGCGTCTCCAATCTCCAACCCAACTCAACTCAACTCCGAACGCCCGGGGACGTTCGTTTATATGGACACCGACAAAAACCGGGTTGGGGCCTGTCGTGGTTTGGGTTCTTTGACAATTCTCAATTCCCAACAAAAATTTTCTTTGTCGTCAGGACAGAAAAATTTATTATTTCCCATTTTTGGAAGCCAATCATTTTCCCTTTTGGGGTTTTTCTCCCTCGTCCGTGAGGAGAGGTCGGAGGAGAATAATCCTCCTAGACTCTTCCTTTCTCATATTGGTATCTCATACCAATCCTCTTAGTGGGTGTCAACAACTTCCCCGCCTTTTTCATACGTTCACCTTCGCCTATCACTCACGCCACCACTCAGCCAATGATCGCTCGGCAGCGTGGGTTCTTAAAATTATCGTCAAAAAAAAAAAAATCTCTTTTCTTTTCTTTCCTTCTTTTCTATCGGCAAGAATTCTTATGAATTCCACGTGGCCATAATTAAATTCTTATCTTATCCTGAGCCACCCAAAATCCACTTAGCAGAACCGACGCATAGTCAACCTTCAAACTGGGTGGTAGTTTTCACTTGATAAACAAATTCTTTATTTTTCTCGTGTCTTAAAATTTTTGTGTTACCAGATGCTCATTTTCGAGTCACCATGTCTGACAATAACAATGATCCCCTTCTCGACTCTCTCTTCTCATGTCAAGACCCGTATATACAACAGATGAGTCTCCTCGCTGGACACAAGAACCAAAACTAAATGATATCTGTGAAAGATAATTAGTAGCTATTCTTTTAGAGTGGTCTCACTGAAATTCCCCCACGGTAGCATGCGTGGCCCACGCTTTGTTTATCTTTTAGAATTCTGTTTTCCTTGTCGCGTCACTATCTGATCATGACATTAATTAATTCTGACAGAATCCGAAATCTGGTTTTCTCTTACGGATTTTCTGTCTTCTGCGAAAAAAGTATCTTTCTTCGTACGTGAAATAAAATCTTTTCCCATTCATATTTTTTTTTTTTTTTGTTAAAAAAAAATGTCGCTCGATCTGTCTTTCAATGTAGCTCTTTCTCGCCTTAAGTATTTCTCGTTTGAATTTCTATGCTTAATTAGTTAGCCAATTACCATAGCTAAATAGTGTCACACTATGCTAGGTCAATTGAAGCGGTTTTCAGTGCCTAATATATATGCTTATTCTTTCAGTCACATAACCTTCCAGTGTTGTTCTCTAACTATGTTTTTTAATCATTTCATCCCAAGCAAGGCAACAAAGTCACTAAAACACAAGGAGTTACTGAGCATGAAAGAATAAAAGAAAGAAAAACATTAAGGTACAAGAACAATAAAAGAAGACGAATCAAGAAGATCAGGGACGTATCAAGGCAAAGTGCCGCCTGGGGAGCGTATTCATAATGGCACCCCGTTTTTTTAGAGGAAAAATATAAATGAAACACCCTTAATGGCGTTTATTAGTACTTGAAAACAACAAATTCAAAAATTAACTGAACAAACGTTATCATATTTTAACCTTTCGAGCTTTTGCAGAAGCAAAGTTACTAATAACTTGGTCAAAGTCTATCTTTTCCACAGTAACATATTCAATTGAAATGAGGGACAAATTGGATAAGTGATCTTGCAACATACTCGATCTCAAGTGACTTTTAATGAGCTTCAGATTTGAGAAATTTCTCTCTGCAGTAGCAACAGAAACTGTGAGCGTCAAAAACAGCCGTAGAACAATCACAATTTTTGGCACTGTTTCTTGAACTTGTCATAAATACATCTCAGCCATTCGATAGCCGATGATTTGATCATCACGGTCACGTCACGTTCCACTTTGAAAGCTCCCGCTAAAAAATCCCGGTATCGGAGAACATCCAAAAGCAGCCTAGATACGTATAAGTCAGCACCGTATTCGCTACCGATAATTTTAAATTTTCGCTCCGACTCGCCTTCAGTATCTTCCAGGATTGCTTGCAATGATAATCCAGCGAAGACAGTTTGCAGATGAGACATGGAGTCAAATCGTGCTTCTAGTTCATTTACAAGTCGATCATGACATTCGTAAAGATTTCTCTTTAGTTCCTGCACAAGTGTTTGACATACATAATCTTCCTTTTCCCCAGATAGCTTTCTCTTTCTTCTAATCTGCTTTTCAGCTGGAATTTCCATTTCCTTGCACTTTGTTTTACTTTGATCAGCCAATTCAGATACCAGCCTGTCCCTGTTTCAGTTAAAGAACA